CCAGGCCGGCCCTGCCCCGCCTGGTTCCGTGGCTCCCCCGCTCCCGGTGCCGACCCAGGGACGCGCCGGGACTTCGCGCAACTGCTGAGCTGAAGACAGGGGTCCTGGTTTCCAGTAACATTGGGTCCTGGGAAATGGACTTCGGGAGTCCACATACGATCGGGACCAAAGAGAGTGAAAAATGAAGTCGCAATGTATAAAGATAAGCTTATTGTACTGTTTGTTTAATGAGACCGCGTAATATTTTCAAGGATTCGCTCTTCCTTTTAAGAATAGTCTCCACGACTGAAGTACAATGCTGCCGTTCTGAGGCCAAATATAGAATGACTGAGGCCTGCTGATTGCTTTTGGAGTAATTTTTCTCACAAAACTGGGTGAGAACACATGGTGCGTCCTTAACGTTATGGGATTTTTAAAGATTTCTGCAGCTTGATCATAAGGAGAATTCCTTTTGCGAACATGTTTAAAGTCTTCGTTGGTACTGTAAGAACTTTCCTGTCTTTTGAGCCTCGCCTGGTGTTGTCCTGGCTCTGCTGGCCTGCCCTCTCCTGTTTCTCTTCCTCAGTTGTAAACAGGTCCGGTTCTGCCATGTCCCACATCAGTGGTTCTGCCTGGGATTCAAGCCACTCTCGGGCTCCCCAATATCACTAAACCTCCCCTTTTTCAAGATGTGCAGTTTCATTTTGCAGCTTGTATTGGGTTGTTACGTCTGACAAGCAGAGACTGAGTTACAAAAGACCCTGTCCCGACAGGCAAGGGACAGATGCTGCTGTAAAGTGGGGATGGAGGATGGGGCTAGTTTAGTAAGTGGCCAGTTAATTCATGAATATTTTCATGTTACCACAGATTTTTCTTTTTTCCTTGACCTTGCAACTGTAGGGACATGGAAAATGGAACATTCAAAAAGTGAAGGCCTTGAGCCAGGTGCAGCGGCTCATGCCTACAATCCCAGGGAGGTGGAGGAGAGAGCATTGCCTGAGTCCAGGGGTTCGAGGCCAGCCTGGGCAACTCGGCGAGACCTTGTCTCTACAATAAATTTAAAAAGCATTTGGGTGTGGTAACACATGCCTATAATTCCACCTACTTGAAAGGCTGAGGTGGAAGGATCGTCTAAGCCAGCAGGTCAAGGCTGCAGTAGCCATGAGCATGCCACTGCACTCCAGCCTGGACAACATAGTGAGACTGACTTAAAAAAAAAAAAAAAAAAATCAAACCCTTGGAATATCAAGAGAAGTGACTAATGGGGGTTAATGTAGACTCTCCAACGTCTAGAGAGAGAAGATGCTTCAATTAAAGGTTTTTAGAGGCAAGGAATAAAATAAACAACTAAACATAGCTGAAACAATGAAAACTTAAAAAAAAAAAAAACTCACCCAGAATAAGAAGTCCAGATGTGGGAGGCTCTAAGACTGGTTAACTCAGCAGCAAAAAGATATTAGGGCTCTTACTCAACAACTCAGTAATTCTGTCAGACATTTCTTCATGGTAACAAGATGGCTGTTGTAGCTCCAAACATGACATTCTTCTCACACCACAATATCCAGAGAGAAGGGAAGAGTAACTTCCTTTCCTTTCCCAGGTCTCTTTTTTACAAGGATGAAAATCTGTTGCTTTGAGTCCCATTGGCGAAAATGAGTTACATGCCTGTCCCCTAGCTGCAAAGGAGGCTGGGAACATGAGTACCTGGCACTTCCTCCTGGATTATCAGAGCAGCCTGCAGGATTGACTCTGATAATTGGCCTGCAGGATGGCCATAAACAGCCTACCTGTGCAGAGTGAAGAGCGGAAGAGTATGGACCCACCTCCCACATGCTCCTCCTTCTCAATGCCTGTGTCTCTCCCACTGCCACAGGTCAGAGGGCTCCCAGCTCCCAAACCCACCACTAACCAGCCCAGAGCCAGGAGACAAGAGTGGCGAACCCGAGGACATTGGGACCAGAGACCCAGCCCCTGCTCCAGAGGGAGCCTGGCAGTCAGACAGCAGCTCAGAGAGCAGAGCCCTGGATGAAGGTTTGTCTCTGCATGCCCAGCCTTGCTGTCAGGTTCACAGTCCATCTGGCTGTGCCCCAGCCCTGCTCTCGGGACCGTCTGCACTGATGCTACCAGCCAGCCTTCGAGCAGAGCCCCACTCCCTCTGGCTGCTCAGGCTGGCCTTCCACAGTGGCCCTTTCCCCCCAGGCTCATCATTTTAAGAACCTGAACTTTTAGAATCTGGTGGGTGTGGAGCCATCCAGAGGAAAGGAAGGGACTGGCTTCCTCATGGGCTAGAAAAGCTGGCTGAGATGGTGCCCAGGTGCCCACCTGGCTCAGCTGTGGGCAGGTGCTGGGTCTCCATCACTTACACCCATCCTCAGAGCCCCTCCCCTCCCCCTGCCTTGGGTACCAGGACAATATTAATGACTGACCACAATAACAAACCACAGCACACACAAAAGTGCAGCATCAGGAAATTCTCAGAATGGGAAACAAAGTATCAATACTGGAAACACATACAGTCAAAAAGCCATGAAACAGTCACCTCAACTCTGGTTCTGTTTGGTCTGGGATACTTTTCATTATCTCAAAACAGAAAAACCCAGAGCACACCCAACTGGGAAAAGTCAGGCTGGAATGACAGGTGTCCAAAGTCAAAATACCCTGAGTTGGAGATTCCCAAACCCGCCAGCTGGCCAGGATCACCCGAGAGCCTTTGAAAACAGATGCCCAGGCCCACCCTAGGTCTCCAGAGGAGGGGAAACGATCAAAAACCAATTAGGACATTGTTTGTCTGCAAGTGTCAGATCATTCAGTCCAAACTGGCTCAAGTTAAAAGGAAATGTATTATGGCCAGGCATGGTGGCTCCTGCCTGTAATCCCAGCACTTCGGGAGGCCGAGGCAAGAGGATTACCTGAGCCCAGGTGTTTGAGACCAACCTGGGCAACATGACGAAACCTTTTCTCTACAATAAATCAAAAAAAATTAGCCGGGCGTGGTGGCATGCAGCTGTAGTTCCAGCTACTTGGAAGGCTGAGGTGGAAGAATCGCCAGAGCCCAGAAGGTCAAGGTTATGGTAGCCACGATCGTGCCACTGCACTCCAGCCTGGGTGACAGAATGAGACTCAGATTCAAAAAGTAAATAAAAATAAAAGGGAATCTATTGGTTCACATAACGTAAAAGTCCGCATAGGTTTCAGGCATAGCTGAACATCAGTAGAACATATCTCTCCTGATACCTGACGCTGCTTTCCTCAGCACTGGCTCACTTTGCAGAAGGCACACCTCTCAGGGTGGCAAGATGGCCACCGGTAGCTCCAGCCCTCCATTCTTCCAACTCCCAGGCTGGAGGCATAGAGGGCATTTCTCTTCCCTGGAAATTTGAGTCCAAGTTTTGGGCTGACTCTTGTTGGCTTCTACTGGGTCCCCTGCCCTTCCTGAACCAGTCGCTGAGACTGGGGTGGCCTGCACTCTGACTGACCAGGTCTGTCTCAGAGCTGGGTGGAGGGGAAGAGGAGGGGTCCGTGCTCCCCAAGGAGAATCAGGACTACCCCGGGACAGGAGCTAGTGCTGGACAGCAGAACACCAGGAGGCCACAGTGGGCCCCTGGTGCTGGGTGAGACCGGAGCCTACCAGCAAGACCCAGCAACACTGGGGACTATGGACATACACACGTGGGACAACCCCTTCCTCCACATCATCCCAGGTATTAGAGGCACACAGATCCCGAGAGTTGAAAATCTAATGTGATGCCCACACCCTGCAGAGCCTACTCCAGTCCAAAGAGAAGGTCCCAGCCTTCCCTGACTGGGGTTGCCATGTCCTAAAGTGGAAATAATACCCACCTCTAAGACCACAGGCAGGACTCGGCCTGTGTTGTCTTGGAAAATAGAAAAGAAAAAGGGCGTCTCTCCCAGCGTCCCTCATAAAATCCCAGGGAGGCACTTGGGCTGGCTAGCTTCACTCCTAGCCAGTTCCACTGGGAAGGGGCCAGTACCTGCCTTGGTGAACTCACCTCACAGGAGCAGATGCCTGGAGAAGGGGGAGGTGACACCAGAGCGCCTCCTCTCTGGCCACCCCGTGTATGTCCCTGGGTAGAGCTGCCTGGTCCCCACCCTTGGTCCTTTGTCCCCACATCTCGTGACTCTCCAGCAGTGGGGGAGCAGCTGTTCCGCTCTGTGGAGGGCCAGGCTGCCTCTGATGAAGAAGAGGAGGAGGAGAAGTGGCAGAAGGAGCAGAGACCCCTGGGGGCCAAGGCCAAGACGCTGCAGGCACAGCTCTCCAGCTGCAGGAGCAGGTATGGTGATCATCCAGAGTCTGCTGCTGTGGACCTCAGGCTCTCAGAAGTTGTCTGGGAAAGACCAGAGTGCCCAGGAAGCTGTTTGGCCTGGCTCAGTCCCTTCCCAGCCCTCTGACACCCCTAGTGTGTGTGACGATGAAGTGAGATTGCCTCCGAGGGCACAGCTCATGGGGGGCTTTAATGCCCACTCCTCCTTTCTCACCAAGACATGCTCTAACATTCTCATGTCTTGCCCGGACACTAGTGTCCCTCTCAGTCTCTCTCTTAGCCCATTGCCCCTTGCAACACACTGTTTCCTGCACCTCCTCCCGCCTGGCCCTAGGCTGGTGCGTTCTTACTTATTATTAATGCCTCACCTCCTCACCACCACCCTAGAGGAAACCAAGGACAGGCTCAGAATGTCTGGGAGCCCTCAGACAAGGCACCTGATTTCTCTGAGCCTTAGTCTTCTGTTATGATGAGACAGTGACACCTGCCTGGCAAGGGCTTTCTGAGGACTTGAGGTCAAGGATGCTTAGCAGGTACCCGAAGCCCAGTAGGTAGGTCCACCATTAGGGGCAACTTTTATTTTTAATATCATAGTGTAAAGTGCTATAGCTTTTGGGGGGTTACTGTTATCACCAATTATTCATGTCAACACCAAACATGTATGAAGTGCCTACTCTGTGCCAGGCAAATTTTGAGGCCCTGGGAACATCGCAATAAACAAGACAGGATCCTCTGTTCCAGCAAGTGTGACAAGTGTGAAGAATAGGGATAAGCAGGGGAAGGGACAGAGGCGGGGGAGGGAGCTGTGGGGAAGGCCTCCTTGAGAAGGTGCTATTTGAGCAGAGACCTGAAGGTGCTGAGCACTCTTTGATCAGAGACCGATGCAGATATTGGGGGAAGAGCATTCCAAAGAAAGGGAACAGCAAGGGCAGAGGCCCTGGGGCATGTTAGACAGACACAACACAGTGAGCAGGCCTTGTGGCCGAGCAGAATGAGTGGAGGTAGGAGGGAAGGGAGTTCGGAGAGGTCACAGGGCAGAGGATGCTGGACAGACAGCTGCAGTGTCCTGGCTTCAGGCTAAAGAGGCAGACTCAGTAAGGACACCTACTCTGGGCTGGGCGGAGCAACTCTGGGAAGAAGCTCCCCTCAGCTGGCTCTCTCCTTTGCTGCAGGTGTGATGACCAGACAGTCGAGAAGCTCATGACTTACTTTGGCCACTTTGGTGGTATTGACCATACCTGTGCCCTGGGAGAGCTGGAGGCCCGCATCGCCATGCTGGTGGAGCAGCTGGGGACCCTGGGCTGTGGCGGGAAGACCCTGGAGACACCCAGGGAGGAGGTCAGCAGAACTCAGAGGTCAAGGGCTAGACCAGTTCTAGAGTATCACAGCCGGAAGGGCCTAAGGGATCACAGCCCAGTCCTGCACCCTATTCACCGATGAGTATGCCAAGGCTCAAAGAAATGTGATTTTCTTTTATTTAGATTATTTTTTTTTTTTTTTGAGTCAGAGTCTCACTCCATCGCCCAGGCTGGAGTGCAGTGGCATGCTTACAGCCACCGCAGCCTCGACTTGCTGGGCTCAGGTGATCCTTCCGCCTCAGCCTTCTGAGTAGCTGAAATTACAGGCACATGCCACCACAACCGGTTAATTTTTTTATTCATTGTAGAGATGAGGTCTCACCAAGTTGCCCAGACTGGTCTCAAACCTGTGTGCTCAGACAATCCTCTCACTTCAGCCTCCCAAAGTGCTGAACAGACTTGAGCCACCATACCCGGCAGATTTTTTTTTTTAGTTGGGATCTCACTCTGTTGCCCAGGCTGGAATGCAGTGGCATGCTCACAGCTCACCACAGCCTTGACCTCCTGGGCTCAGACGATCTTTCCACCTCAGTCTCCCAAGTAACTGGGACTACAGGTGTATGCCACCATGCCTGGCTAGTTTTTCTATGTTTTGTGAGACAGGGTCTCACTGTGTTACCCAGGCTGTTCTTGAACGCCTGGACTCCTCTCACCTCAGCTTCCCAGCAAGCTGGAATTACAGGCATGAGCCACTGTGCCTGGCCTGATTTAGATGTAATGAGAAATATTTGAGTTAAAGGATCCTTGCAAGTTAAAGAATCACATCTCAGATCAGGTTGAGTGCAAGACAGGAATTTATTGGAACATGAAGCTGAGAATACAGGGGTGGTGTGAGCTTCAGACACAAACTAGATCCAGGGTTTTGGGCCAGATTGTCATGTGTTTCTCCCGAAGCTGGCCTCACTTTCCCTGACTGCAGAGGGGTTTGGTCAGGATGACAGGGAAGCAGGACCATTGGCAGCCCCGGGCTTCCACCAGCTTACCTGGGAAACGCCGGAGGGATAATGAGTCCCACTCCTAGTATATTAAATCTCAGGGAGGAACTCTGATTGGCCCAGCCTCAGCTAGTGGCCTGTCCCTGGGCCAATCCCTGTGGAGGGGCGGGGTTCAGTGATTGGCATCTCCACCGAAACCAGATGAAGTAGAGGAGGGGCTGTTTCCCAAAGGAAACGGGTGTCATCACAGGAAGACATGGGTAGGAAGGGTCGGCATCCAACCAGCTGTCTCCATTGCAACAAGGCCACTCAGCATTTCTCATTCTCTCTACCCAGCAGGAACGTCTCCGTTCCCCGGTAAGCAAATGTGCAGCACAGTCGGAAGTAGGCATTTCACTAAGCCCTCTTCACTTTCACAGTTGTGGTTTTGATATGGGATAATTTTATATTTACATGTCTGAAATTCATGCACACGTATGATCAGATGAAGTTTTAGCTCCTTCCGATCATTTTTTTGATACCAGCTAACATAACACATGAATCGCATCCTAGGCACTGAAGTGGTTTGTCTCATTTTATGCTCAAAGAGCCCAGAGAGGTAGGGAACAGTTTGGGAGAGGCTGGGGGATTGGGCTTGGAGCCCATGCCTCAGCCATGCCAGTGTGCCCGCCAAACCCAGACAGGCACTCTGCTCCATCCTCAGAGGCCAGCAGGTGAGTTGTTGAGGGTAGGAAGGAACAAAGGGGCCTGTTTAGGCTCCAGCTTCTTAGTACATGAAATCAAAGACCAAGACAGAAAAAAGCAGGTCCTGGAGCATTGCAAAAAATTGGACGAAGACCAGGATCATGCAGACATTTTGTTGAGATGTGCAAAGGAAACAAAGATGAATGTCATTCATCTTTGTAGGCCAGTGTGGCTGCTTCTAACCCTTCCGGTGATATAGGGTTTGCACTACCGCCAGCTTCTGGATCCCATGCCTTGGGGTAGGGACATCCCTTGGTTACTCCCCAGAGTAGGTAGCAAATGCCGACCATCAAAGCATGGTGGCTGTGGTCTGGAGCCATATGGCCTGGGTTTGAATCCTGCCTCTATTACCTGAGTGACATTGGGAAAGTTACTTAACTCTTCTGTGCCTCAGTTTCTTCTGTGAAGATGGGCATAATAATAGTACTATGCTGTATGTATTAAATAGGTAAGTATTTGTGGTGAGCTCTCAGCAAATATGAGCAATGGTCATCACTGTTTCTAGCACTCTTCTGTGTTGTGTTGACCTTTCATGCTTAAAATGACTTTTAGCCGGGCTCAGTGGCTCAGCCTGTAATCCCACGCCTTTGGGAGGCTGAGATGAGTGAATTGCCTGAGCCCACGGGTTTGAGACCCGCCTGGGCAACTTGGTGAGACCTCATCTCTACAATAAATCAAAAATGAGCCGGGCGTGGTAGCATGCACCTGTAGTTCCGGCTACTTGGAAGGCTGAAGCGGAAGGATTGCTGGAGCCCAGCAGGTCGAGGCTGTGGTGGCCGGGAGCAGCCACTGCACTCCAGTCTGGGCGACAGAGTGAGACTCCAACTCAAAAAAAAAGTAAAAAATAAACAAAATAAAATAAAATGACTTTTATATTCTCACCCACCACCACTCTGTTTTCCTTAAGGCCTTGATCTTGCCTGCCCAGGCAGCCCTCAGGAAAGTCATAGCCCTTGTGACTGGGGGGATTACCACATTGGCACAAAGCAGTGCTATGAGCCGTCTGTTAATCACTTGGCAGTCACAAACCCACCACCATTTATCCAAGTAACTTTCAAGCAAATAGGGACTAGGGGAGTTCCAGAATTAGCCAACCTTCCAGTCCCACCTGTAGTGGTTGGAAACACTGGGCCTTCCCTCCTCCTGCCCAAACCCAGAGTTGACCCTGGGCATCCAGTGCCCGAATCTCTACCACCTCTCATTCACTCCATTTGTGTCAGGGAAAGGCACTGCCTCATGCCCAGCCGGACTGCTTTAGAAGGCGGGTGACCATGTGACACTTTGCGACTGCCTGGTACCTTGGTGTTCTCTGATAGGATTAGTGGTTTCAGGGGCACCCTGGCTAGGTGGACCAGTGACTCAGGCTGGGGCAGTCAGGCCCCTTTCCTGGGGGAAGGAGGAAATGGCTAGAAGGGTCCTTTTCAGTTGTGACTCCTCATCAGGGGGCATGAGATGCTGCTGACGTCTTGACCCCTGGAGCTGCCCCATTCCTGAGGTTCTTTACCTGCCGGTCCATTCTGGGAAGTGCCCACTAGCCTGCCAGGAAGTTTTTTTTTTAAGCAAGCCAGATTGGTTTCTTTTACTTGCTACCAAAATAATTTGTTTAAAAAAGCAAACTGGAAGGATAGAGAAGGGAGAACGGAGCCTTAAACGAGGAATCTGAGTATGAAACTCTTACATCGATCCAACTTACTGGGCAGCTTCAGGCCAGGCACTCAGCTTCTCTGGGCCTCTGTGCCAACCTCGAGGAGATACAGTGGTTTGTATGCTAAGCCACCTAGCAGGCTGGGGGAGGCCAGTGAGGCAGGCCTTTGAAGCAGGCCTTGCCAGGGAGGGTGCTGTGAGTCCCAGGGAGAGGGCAGCATGGGGAGCTGAGCCTTCTTCTCCCCCCAGGCAGAGCTTCAGCGGAAGGAGGAAGAGAACCAGCACCTGAGGCTGGAGCTGCAGATGGTAGAGACCGAGAGGGTGCGGCTGTCTCTGCTGGAGGAGAAGCTGGTGGATGTGCTGCAGCTCCTGCAGAGGCTCCGGGACCTGGTAGGCTCACAGAGTCTCATTCTTTCAGTCTCTTAGTCTTGTGTGGTGGCACATGCCTGGAGTTCCAGCTACTTGGAAAGCTGAGGTGGAAGGATCACCTGAGCCCAGCAGGTCGAGGCTGCAGTGGCCGTGAGCATTCCACTGCACTCTAGCCTGGGCGACAGAGTGAAACTCCAACTCAAAAAAAAAAATCTATCATTGTAAGGCCAGGCACAGTAGCTCTCAGTAGCTTTAACTGTAGCCCCAGTGCTTTGGGAGGCCAAGGCGGGAAGATTGCTTGAGCCCGGGAGTTTGAGACCAGCCTAGGCAACACAGTGATACCTTGTCTCTACCAAAACAAAAAAATCATAACATTAGCTGGGCATGGTGGCACATGCCTATAGTCCCACCTACTCGGAAGGCTGAGGAAGAAGGATCACTTGAGCCCAGGGGGTCAAGGCTGCAGTGAGCCATGATTGCACTGCTGTACTCCAGCCTAGGCAGAAGAGCGAGACCCAGACTGAAAAAAAAAAACTACCACCATAATATACCACATCGCAGATTAGAGGAGAAAAACCATATAAAATCATCTCAATTAATGCAGAAAAGATAGTCAATAAAATTCAGTCTCCTTTGATTATAAAACTTCCTGGCAAATAAAGCAGTCTTAATTTTTCTTAACCAGATGAAGACTCTCAACCAAATATGTCTCTCAAATCTCATACTAATTGGTGAAATGTTAGAAGAAATCATACAATCAAATTCAGGGCATGACTGCCTGCCATCACTGCTTGGATGCTAAGTAGAGGTTCAGACAGCACAGAAGACAAAAGATGGATAGAAAGGATAGGATTAGAAAGGAAGAGACAAAGCTATCATTAATCATAGGTCATAGCCATCTACACAGAATATCCTGGAGAACCCAGAGGCAAATCACTGAGATTATGTTTTTGCAAAAAATCAGAACACAGAAATTACCAGCAATTTTTTTTTTTTTTTGAGACAAGGTCTCACTATGTTGCCCCACCTCAAGTACAGTGAATGTTCACAGGTACGGTCATGGTACACTACCACCTAGCATTTCCTGGCTCTAGCAATCCTCCTGCCTCAGCCTCCCAAGTATCTGGGACTACAGGTGTGTGCCACCACACCTGACAACAAGCCATTAAAAAAAAATTGTTTTTTAAGAGACATTAGATTACCAAGGATTATATAGGCGACACAAGGTGGAAGTAACGTTAGAACCCAGGTCTGCAGGACTCTGAAGTGGGCTCTTCCCTGTGCATCAGGCTTCCTGGGGTACAGGGCTGCTGAGGTCCAACCCCGTGTCACACAGCCTAGGCAAGCAGAGACCTGGGTATAGGCCTGTGATCAGCCCTAGCAGGCAGTAAAGTGCTGTGGGTCCCAGCAGAGGCCCACAGCCTGAGGGTAGACACTGGTCCTTCCACTTCCCAGCTGAGTAGCATTAGGGAAGTTTCTCATTTTTTCTCAGCCTGGCTTTTTTGCTGGTTAAAATGTGCATAATAACAAGAAATTGTTGCAAGGATCAAATGCATAAAAATGCTCTTCCTCGTGGTTATTTCCAAGTGCCTGGTTATTCCTAAATACATGAGCTCTGATGCATGGATCCTGCACACTGCTCTACCCACCTCCCAGAGTCTCTGGGAAGCCCAGTCTGGCCAGCCTAGGGGTAGGGGGCCGGGAAGTTGCGGAGAAGGGGCTTATCTGTCCCCGGAGAGCTTCGCAGAAGTCCCAGGACCACCAGATCCCACCCGCTGAATGAGGACACAGCAGCCACGGTCTGACCCAGGCCTGTCTCCATTTCTTTTTAAGAAAATATCGAAAAGAGCCCTGGGGAAGCTTTTGCTGAACACGCTGGATGCTTGCAGGGACCCTGCACACGGTAGGAAAGCACCCCACCTCTCAGCGCCAGGGAGCGTCCTGAGGAGGAAACTCCAGCCTGCCCTGTCCTGAGTGTCTTGTCTGCCTGGCTCTTCCTGCCCTGAGCACCTGCCGGGGTAGTCAGGAAGAGACTTCTGAAGTTGAAAGTGCTATTTAACCAGCACAGAGGGACCAGAAGCCCCGGAGAGAAGTGCTAGGCAGAAGCCAGCTGCTCAAGTACAGCTAGGGTACCACCCGGGGCCTGCCAGCATCTGGGCGGCCAAGTGTTGGGTAGCCCCTCAGATTTTTGTTTTGCTTTATTCTGAGTTGGAGTCTCACTCCATCTCCCAGGCTGGAGTGCAGAGGCACACCCACAGCCACCCCAGCGTCAACCCGCTGGGCTCTGGCGATCCTTCCGCCTCATCCTTCTAAGTAGCCAGAACTACAGATGTGCGTGACCACGCCCGGCTAATTTTTTTTTTTTAACTTATTGTAGAGATGAGGTCTTGCCAAGTTGCCTGGGCTGGTCTCAAGCCCGCAGGCTCAGGCAGTCCACTTACCTCAGCCTCCCAAAGTGCTGGGATGACAGACTGAGCCACCAAACCCGGTGCCACAGATATTTCTAACCCCCCAAGTCTTTACAATGGCCCTAGAAGGAGGGCATTATTATCCCCATTCCACAGATGAAGAGACTGAGACACAGAGCATCGAGTGCTGGCTCCACCTGAGGCCTTGGGTCTCTCTCAAGCAATGAGCCACCCAGCCCTTGTTTAGACAAGATTCAGGGCAGCAGAATCAGTCACAGCTTGTGCCCAGTGCAGCCAGGAGGAACAAGGTCAGAGGGCCTCACAGGCCGACAGGGTGCCCAGTAAGCTTTTGCTCGCTAGCCTCGAGGGACAGAGCTCAGGTATGTCCAGGAGTGTCCAGTGCCTGGACAGTCCCTGGCATCAAGGAGGAGATCAGGAATTGTGTGCTAGGGTACCACCCAGGGCCCTCAGTAGGAAGTAGATGAGAGAGGGAGGCAGCTGGGCAGGGCTGGGGAGGAGTGCAGGGCGTGAGGGTAGGCGGGTGGCTCCTAGGGAGGGGGAGAGTTGTGGGTGAAGGGGAGCAGACTGACCCTGCCCTCCCCATCCACTCATTCCCTCCAGCGGGGAGGCCTGGCCCCTCGGCCATCCTGGATGCCCTGCACCAAGCCTTGGCTGGCTGCGAGCTCTTGCGGAGACAGCCCTCAGACCCGGCCACTGCTGCCCCTGCGCTCCCCAACCCCCTCCTCATCTCCTGCTGAGGCTGCTGGCCCGGCCTGTGAGCACCCTGGTCAGCCTGACCACCACTGAACCTGCCTCTGTGACTGACTCAGCCACTGTCAGCCGCCTTTCACAGCCAGCCTGACCATCGTCACATCATCAGAACTCTGGAGGCCCTGGCTCCTTCCAAGACAGAGCCCAAGGTCAAAGCTGCCCACTGCAGAGCCTGGCAGTAACCCTTCCTTGGGCTCCTCCCACATTCTCTCCAAGCTCCTGCATTCCTGCCATCAGAATTCATATCAAAGCTCTACACATCTGGATCAGCCTGTGCCTGATGCTGTCTGTCTCCTGTGCTTGGAGCAGAAGTGCCCACTTCCCACCCAGTCCAGCCCAGAATCTCTTCCCTGGGGTCCCAGGATCTCCTCCCCTCCTAGCACTGACCCCTTCCTTCCGCCAGCATGCCTCATGCCAGGGAGACTGGGTCCAACCTCTGGAACCCCTGGTCCATTAGGAAGCTCTCTACACCCTAGGAAATGTTGAAGACCAGGAAGGGTAGAATTCCTAGAAGGGAGAGATCACTGTAGGTGTCTGTGGAAATGGTCTTGAACTAGTTCTAAAAGAGAGGTAGGGTTTAGATGAGCAAAGAGCAGAGGGAAGGGCATTCAACCAGAGGTAACACCAAGAGCAGGTGTGGTGCTGGGAAAGGCCCCCGTGATTAGGGTCCCCGCAACCCCTCCTTCCTGAGCACGTCGTACTAGGTACTGCTCCTCACGTGGTCACAGGAGGGAGTAAGACCAAATGCCTGGTCTCATCTAGCGTGAAACGTCACCGAAGAGAAAGATACATTAGCAGGTAGTGCCATGTGTGTGAAGTCAGTGCTAAGTGGAGTAAAACAAAGTGTTGTGAGAGTCCCACCCGCAGGGGTGTGTCTGAGCCTGGGATGCAGGAGGAAGCTGCAGGAGCAAGGGGTGAGCTGCGGTGGGAAGGGAGGAGTGGCACAGGAGAGGAGAGGGGCCCAAAGACACTGGCCTTGGCCTCAGACACCCAGAGAGACATTGAAAACTCCTAAGCAGGGAAACACAGGCCCATTTGATTTTCAATGGTTCCTCTAGACATGGAACAAAGAGACCAAGGCCAGGGCCATCACACGGGCCAGCCCACCCCTGGCCCTGGCAGATGGGAAGGGTTCCAGGACACCTCAGGCCCCAGTGCCCACCTGAGCAGATAGGGCTGCCCCCAGCTTGCTCCTCTCCATTCAGCCTGAGCCCCCCCAGCACTATGCCACTAGTGAGTGCCCGGCCCAGGTGACCCAGACCCAGAGCTGCCCCTGCTCAGTGAGGGGATCGGCTGTTGTGTAGCCTGATCATGGTGTTGGTTACATAAAACTAACATGTGCTAAAACTCAGTGTGGACAAGTATGCGAGTTAAAAATTCCAAAGGAACCTAGTCAGATGGGGCCGTCTCACACTTTTGTGAGTTTTATCTTAGGAGTCCTACTACATTCGCACAGTAAAGATTGGAAAAAAAAACTCCCTTGTGCCTCTGGCAAGGGCAGGGGAAAGTAACGCCAGGGCATTCTGTTTTTTGTTTTTCTTTTTTTTTTGAGCTGGAGTCTCACTCTGTCGCCCAGACTGGAGTGCGGTGGCCAGGAGCGGCCTCGACCTACTGGGCTCTGGCGATCCTTCCGCCTCAGCCTTCCAAGTAGCGGGAATTACAGGCATGCGCTACCACACCCGCCTGATTTTTTATTTATTGTAAAGATGAGGTCTCGCCTGCCCAGGGAGGTCTCGAACCCGTGGGCTCAGGCAATCCACTCACCTCAGCCTCCCAAAGGTGCGGGATTACAGGCTAAGCCACCAAGCCCGGCTCATTCTGTTCTTTTTAACAAGGCCTACACTCAAACTACTTTACTAGGCCCTAACCCACCAGAGTTTAATTTGAGCCTAATCACCCTGGGGAAGGGAACTATCTAAATACAGTCCCCTCTACTCATCCTGTCCCACCTAAGGGAATGGAAAGCTGTGAAGTTCACAGCCCAGGACACAGGCTTACTAAAAGACTAAGATCTAACCATAGGACTATAAAATACTTTCCCTCAACACCTTACCACCATCTCACTAAAGTCCCATTTACTGGAGTTCCTTTTACCCAGTGCATCATGTTTGCCTTTCAGCAAAAACTACAAGGCATACTGAAAGGCAAAACTCATAGTGTGAAGAAACAGAGCAAGTATCAGACCTAGACAAAGCTATGGCAGGGATATTGGAAACATCAGACTATGAATTTAAACCGGTTATGATTGCTGGGCGTGGTGGCTCAAGCCTGTAATCCCAGCACTTATGGAGGCTGAGGCAAGAGAATTGCCTAAGCCCAGGGGTTAGAGACCAGCCTGGGCAACTTGGTGAACCCTTGTCTCTACAATAAATAAAAATTAATCATGCATGGTAGTACAGCACCTGTAGATCCAGCTACTTGGAAGGCTGAGGCGGAAGGATCACTGGAGCCCAGCGGGTCGATGCTGGGGTGACCATGAGTGTGCCACTGCCCTCCAGCCTGGGCAACAGAGTGAGATTGTGACTCAAAAAAAAAATTATCCATCAAAAGTGAAAGAAGTAAAAACCTTTTCAGACAAAAAAAATCCAGGGAATTTGGATAGGAAGAAATGTTAAAAAATTCTTCAGAGAGAAGAACAATTATATAGGTCCCAAACTCAGATCTACATAATGGAAGATCATTAGAAAAGGAATAAGTGAAAATAAAATGAAAACTTTTATTTTTTAAAAATTATTACTTGAACAGATTGTTCAAAATATTGTTAGTTACAGGGCATCCAATTGTTATAGTTTATGTATAAGTAAAGTGAATGACAGCAATGATACAGGGGACAAAAAAGAGGAATTAGAAATATTTTGTTATCATAAGGTACTTGTACTACCTATGAAACAGTATAGTGTTATTTGAAAGTGGACTTGAATTCATCGTAAATGTATATTGCAAACTCTAGAGCAACCACTAAAAAAAGTTAAAAAAAAGATGAAGTATAATTGATAAGAGAGAAAAATCACATAAAATGCTCAATTAAAACAAAAAAGGCAGGATAAGAATGGTAGACAAAAAAGGGACAAACAAGACAGGCAATGAATAAAAAACAGTAACAAACACAGTAGATATTAACCCAACTACAGCAATAATTGCTTTAAACATCAATGGTCTAAATACATCAATCAAGACATTGTTAGATTAAATAAAAAAACAAGGCCGACTGTGTGTTGTCTACACTTTAAATACAAAGACACTGCCGGGCTCGGTGGCTCAGCCTGTAATCCCGCGCCTTTGGGAGGCCGAGGTGAGTGGATTGCCTGAGCCCGCGGGTTCGAGACCCGCCCAGGCAACTTGGTGAGACCTCATCTCTACAATAAATTGAAATGAGCCAGGCATGGTAGCGCGTGCCTGTGGTTCCAGCTACTTGGAAGGCTGAGGCAGAAGGATCGCCCGAGCCCAGCAGGTCAAGGCAGCAGTGGCCGGGTGTGGCCACTGCGCTCCAGCCTGGGTGATAGAGTGAGACTCCAACTAAAAAAAAAAAAAAAAAAATACAAAGACACATACACATAGATTAAAAGTAAACGGATAAACCGGGCTCGGTGGCTCAGCCTGTAATCCCATGCCTTTGGGAGGCTGAGGTGAGTGGATTGCCTGAGCCCGCAGGTTCGAGACCCACCTGGGCAACTTGGCGAGACCTCATCTCTACAATAAATCAAAAAAGCAGCCGGGTGTGGTAGTGTGTGCCTTGTAGTTCCAGTTACTTGGAAGGCTGAGGCGGAAGGATCGCCGGAGCCCAGCAGGTCAAGGCAGCGGTGGCCGGGTGCGGCCACTATACTCCAGTCTGGGCGATAGAGTGAGACTCCAACTAAAAAAAAAAAAGTAAAAGGATAAAGATATTATTAATTAAAAGAAAGCTGAAATAGCTACAATAATTTCAGAGAAGACTAATGATAAATGCATCAATTCTCCAAAAAGACATAACAATCCTAAATGTGTATATACTTGGCAAGAGAGTGACAAAGTATGTGAGGCAAAACTGATAGAACTACAAAAAAAAGAAAAAAAAGAATTCACTATTTGAGTAAGATACTTTGACATCCTCTATCAGAATTGAACAGATCCAGGGTCCAATGGGCAGAAAATCAACAAAGACAAAGTTGAATTCAATAGCACCATCAATCAACTGGATCTAATTGACATCTATAGAATATTTTATTCAAGAAAAACAGAATACACGTTCTTTTTCTTTTTCTTTTTTTTCTTTTTTAGTTGGGAGTCTCACTTCGCCACCCAGGCTGGAATGCAGTGGCATGCTCGTGGCCACCCCAGCGTCGACCTGCTGGGCTCCAGTGATTTTTCTACCTCAACCCTCAAGTAAGTGCCCGGCTAATTTTTGATTTATTGTAGTGACAAGCTCTCACCAAGTTGCCCAGGCTGGTCTCGAACCCGCGAACTCAGGCAATCTACTCACCTTGGCCTCCCAAAGTGCTGGGATTACAGGCTGAGCCACCGAGCCCAGCCATCTTCTTAAGCTCAAACAGAATATTCACCAAGATAAATCATATACTGGGCAATAAAACACACCTTAACAAATTGAAAAGAATTGAAATCATACAATGATCTCAGATGGCAATGAAATTAAACTGGAAATCAACAACAAAATAGCTGGAAAATCCCAAAATACTTAGAAATTAAACAACACATTTTAAAATTACAGGTCAAAGAAGAAATTGCAAAAGAAATTTTAAAAGAACTTGAATTAAATGAAAATATAACTTATCAAAATTTGTGGAGGCCAGGCATAGTGGCTCAAGCCTATAATCCCAGCACTTTGGGAGGTTGAGGTGAGAGGATTGCCTGAGCCCAGGGGTTTGAGACCAGCCTGGGCAACTTAGTGAGACCTCGTATCTACAATAAATCAAAAAATTCGCTGGGTGTGGCGGTGCATGCCTGTAGTTCTGACTACTTCAAAGGCTAAGGCAGAAGGATCTCCTGAACCCAACAGGTCCAGGCTGCGGTGGCCGTGAGCATGCCACTGCATTCCAGCATGGGTGACAGAGTGAGACTCTGGCTCAAAAAAAAAAAACTTGTGGAATGCAGCAAAAGCACTGCTTAGAGGG